TTACTGTGAGTCTGTATGAGAGAGAGAGAGAGAGAGAGAGAGAGAGAGAGAGAGAGAGAGAGAGAGTGTGTGTGTGTGTGTGTGTGTGTGTGTGTGTGTGTGTGTGTGTACAACTTGGAGGAATCAGTTCTCTTCTTCTACCATGTGGGTCCTTGGGATTGAACCCGGGTCATCGGGCTTGGTGGCAGGTGCTCTTATCCTACTGAGCCAACTCACCAGCCCCACAAGTAAATATGTTATAAGTCAGCTACCTCAGGTATCTCATTATAATGATGTGAAGCTAACAGTCGGGACCCCAGTGAAGTACCTCCCCAGACAACTTGGTGAAATGCTGCAGCTAAGATCAGTTCTGAGTCTAAAATGATGAAAACTGTACCCATCTGACAGATGACATCAGCTACAGTGGAGGGTCTAGAGTGTCCTGCTAAGAGGATTCAAGGACACGCTGTCCACTCCTAAATGTCTACTGGGGCAGTGTACAATTCTCTCACTTTTCTCTCTCCCTGTGTAGCCGTCTTCATTGAGAGGTCCCCCTTCACTCCTGCTCTGGCGGTTTCAATCACCCCTTGCTCCCTAAGGTCCTTGGGGGTCCTACTAACAGTAGGATTAGACCTGGACAGCCAGAGGCTTCCTGGCCTTTCCACCTAGCTGTCCAACGCTTCCCTGAGGTGTAGCTAACACCCAGGGACTGAACCCTCCTCTCTACTTGGTAAAGTTGGCAAGATTGCAACTCCATCTTCCGGATGAGGATGCTGAGTTCAGGGAGGTTGTCAGCTTAATAACTGTAGGGGTCTAAAGCAGAGCTGGCATTCTGAGCCATGACGTCATATAATCAGCAATAATGGGCTGAAAATTATGATGCTCTCTATAAAGCCAGGAGGATTCATTTAATATTGTTTTTATTTTTTTCTGGCTTGGACAGACAGCTTGGAAAGTCGTCAGGCGTCAGCTGGACTTGCTGAGAAACCCATTAACCGTGGCCTTTCTGAGAAAATCTTCAACAGCATTTACTTGCAAGGCAAATGATGAAGATTTAGGATTTGCCCTGCGATTCCTCTTCCACACTGCTCTTTAAATAAACATTTCCTAATCCAAAAGCAACCACAGCTATTTCAGACTTTTATCTTTTAAAACCTGAATTCACTGCTTTCGCTGAGTTTTACAAGAACAGGCCTTTGAGATAAGCCATGATAAGGCCACCAGAGTCTCGCTCCTCCTACCAATCCGAGTCTGGTAATGACTACACATCGGACTTAGTAATAAGCGAGGAGCATTTCCGAACACTTGGCTTTGTTGTAAAGGGCAAGATTTTGGAAGCAGGCTCCCAGGACTGCATCCAGATCCGTTTTCCTGGAACCTAACCTAACTGGAGGAGGCTCTGCCGAAGCGCCAGGTGAAAGCCGAGCAGGAGACAGCTCGGTGGCTGCCTGAGGCCTGGCCCTGCGGCAGAAAGCGCTGCAGGACCGCAGGCGCCATAACCCCCTCCTCACGGTGACCTCTGGATGCCTTTCTACGTCCTGGGACGGAGACACAACTCCTTTCCAAGCCAGGCTGGGGCTGGGAGAGGTCTTGGGAGCAAACAGGTCTTGGGAGCCCCACAGTGTCCCCATGGAGCCCGCACCCCGCCCCGTACTTCCTGGGTCCGCTGATTGCACTGTCTCACAGAATTCTGAACTGTTCCGCAACCCTGCCAAGCTTTCTTCCCACCCTACACCTGGGTTCACCTTGAAGAAGAACTGGTGACGCCATTGCTTGTCAGACCCAGCTGTGTCTTGACACACTGCCTAAACTTGCCATGTCTTGTGTGAGATAATGAATATCTCTGGCTTGGGGAACAATGTCTGATTAGATTAGCTTTTCCTACTGGTGTTTTTGCTGTGGAAGCTCAGAATGTAGTAAAAGTGTGTATGAGCGATTAAGTTTTTCTTTTAGACTTATCTATTTTTATGTGTATGTGCACCATGCGCATGCCTGGTGCCTAGAGAGGCCAGAAGAAGGCATTGGTGCTCCTGGAATTAGAGTTATGGGTGGTTGTGTGTCCACCCCAGTGGACGTGCTGGCTTTCAAACCCAGGTCCTCTGCAAGAGTAACACGTGCTTTTAACCACTGAGCCCCCTCTCCAGACCCGTCAGAGTGTTTTGAACACACACCTCTAATTTTTGTGAAGGAAAGAAATGTGTGCAGGGAGAGGGCAAACACCAGAAAATGAAGGTTTGGAGTCTGCTCCTTCCTGCAGACTCTCCTGTGCTAGATAATACAATGCCACAGCCTACTGAGTGGTCTGCCCTGCTTGACAGCTAAGCACATGCTTATCACTGAGTCTTTACATTTTTATCCAGCAGACAGATGCTATTTTTGTCCCTGGTCCCCCATTTTACAGGTGACAAGGCTGAGGAACCAAGAAGTTCCTTGCCAAAAGATAAATAGTGAATCAGAAATGGGGGCCCAGGAGAGAGTCCAAGCACTTGGTCCCCAAAGTACTGTCCCAGAAGCTGCAGCTGCCACCCACATTCCCGAGGGGGCTGAAAAGGAGCACCGGAATCAGCTTGTCTCCAAAGAGCTGTGTGGAACGCAGGAACTGTGACCTCCTTTGGCCAGATTGTGAGGAGAACTCTATTGGTACGGAGCGGGCCGAGGCTGTCAGTAGCCATGCCGGGGTTTCCAGCAGCGGCTCGCACACAGTGAGACTCTAGGATGCAGGCGGTCAGCACACAGAGCCAGGGGAGAGCAAGCCCAGTTCTCAAGCCACAGTTTCATCTGGGAAAGCCTGGCATAACACTGTATTGAGGAAGGCTAACCTGGGAGGCAGATGTCACCAAGGGGTTTCACTGTGCCCCGAGCTTCTGTCTTGCTTAAGTCTGACGTGGAAATTAGTTTTAGTGGCATAATGTCAGTTTTGGCTCACCTCTGAATTCTTTAGAAATGTGAAGCAGGAAACTGGATTCAGCTAGTGAATTAGATCAACGTCCAGATAATCCAGAAACCAAATCCTCTTTTCTGTCATAGCAGGAATTTATCTGAATTAAACTGTGCGCTGTCCCCAGCCCCAGCTCCCAATTTTTCCTCAACAGACTCAGCTTAAACCTTCAAGCTTTCACTTTGCTACGCTAATTAGGAGTCGGAAGAGTCAACACTCATTAAACCAGTGATTCCTACCCCACCAGTGATACGGTTTTTAATCTAACCTTTTCTTCCTCCTCCTCCTCCTCCTCTTCTTCTTGAGACAAGATCTTACTATGTAACCCAGGCTGGCCTCGAACTCCCGACCCTCCAACTTCAGCCTCCTGAGTGCTGAGGTTACAGGTGTGCTCGCTGCTGGTCTTAGCTGCTTTCTCCTTTCCTGTCCCTCCCTTTTACCCTGGGGCCTCATGCATGGTAGGCAAACACTGCGTCACTGGGACTACACTCAGCTGCTGTACCCTCTCACCCAGCCTCCACAGCACCGACATTAACCTCCAAGACTGCTGTGCTGGCTGGGCGGCCAGCCCCATCAGCTCCTAGCTCTGTGGGTCTCGAGTGCTGCCTGGAACACAACAGGATGAAAAAGACAGCGGCTGGAAAATGTGTGTTGTGTGTTGCCACACGTCACATCTCCTGTCTGGTAACAAAGCCATCCCTCTGCCAACATGGATCTCTGGCCTAAACCCTGGTGCTCTTTAGCCTGATAATTCTTCAAGTTTGATGTTTTATAGAATGGAACGTGAAATAATTCCCTGTTGTGAGTTCCACGTGGAGCTTGCTCAGTCTGAAAAGCATCTGCATTATTAATCAGACAAACCAAATCACGGAGTGGACCTCAAAGGTTCATTTTAATGACTCCTCTCCAGAGATGACAAAGGCACCCGCTCCCAGGCTTCCGCGAGAAGGCTAACTGTTACACTGAATGAGTGGAGCTGCACGATTTGAGGGTCCCCTCGGAGCACAACGGTCAAAACCCAACCTCAATTCAATCAGTGTTTGCAGAGTGACCTCACCTCTTCTATCCTGGCCTTCAGATAGTTGACTTAAAGCCTAATTCCTACTAGAAGTCTTTCAAACGAGAAATTAACTTGGACACCCCCTCCACACACACCGCCCCGTCACCATTATGAAATAAGGAGCAGAAGTTGGCGCTTTGCCCAAGAGGCCAATACTTTAGAAAGTCAATTTGATCTTGACTTCATTAAAGCAAGAAAGTGTGGGTGGTTAATCTGAGTGAAAGGTGCCATTTTCCACAAATGCATTCCGACTTAACCAGACGGGTGGTTGCATGACAGCAGCTATTTAGGATTAGGAAGGAACTGTGATTGGGGGTTTTAATGAATCACATGGTTTTTGCTATTTACGAATTCTTCAGCAGTTACTTTGGCTCCTTTCCCAGGAGGCAGACCTTCCCGCCTAGTTATCCCAACGTGTGTGTGGTTCCCAGCGGACACAATTTTGTCCCACAGATGTTGGCTTTGATGGGACGGGACGAGCCTGAGGCATTCTAAACTTTCCATTGATTTCAGCTTCTTGGTGGATACTATGAGTCTCTCCTGCTCCAAGAAGACGACAGTCTTAGCTTCAAAGGCTGCCTGAGAGTGAGTTATTTACCAAATCACACAAAAGCGGGATTTATCAAGTTCCCTTTCCCTGAGAGGACATCCCGGGGACTGGAGGACTTTATTACCCTCACTCTCTGCTGTAAATTATGTCACTAAGATGCTTTTGAAAGCTCCTCTTAGCTTAGTCATAAAACTTGATACCTGGGGCCAAACGCCTTCAACCCCCAACCCCAGAACTGTGACAAAGAAGAAAAGGAGCGTTTGTAAGGAGTGGGACAGGAAGTAGAGAATTGGGCCTAAGGGTAAGGGAGCATATTTACTGCGAAATTAATTTTGCCATTTGTACAGAGTCATTGGCCTTCCAAGACCTAAACTGGCTACCTGGTAAGCCCCAGGATTAGTCAATCTCACTAGCTTGTTGTGACCATTAAGACTAGGATGTCAGATGTGAGTTTTACTAAGGAAGCCACTCACCTGGGGAGGGTTTGCTGGGGCCCACTTTCTCTGGCTTCCTTGGAGTCATGGTACTTTTGTGTTTCTGCTTGACTGAAGCTTGGTCAATGGCTGGAAGTCTGGGCTCACACTTAGCTGTAGGTAGTTTGGTAGATGATCTCGGTTCACTTAAAGAATCCTCCTCACTGGAACTCTGCGGAAAATGGAAGATGTGTGAGTCTCAGAGGCTGGGCTGACCTCTGCTAAGCACAGAAACAGGGGAAGTGGATGCGGTGAGCCCTCGAGCAGCAGCTCAGACGCATCTTGTGTTTGTCACTCAGCTCTAGCTGTGGTTAGGGAAATTTTGATGGATCGGGTGGACCAGCTTCAACATACCACCAACACACTGAAGAGACTGTGTTTCTGAGTCTGTTATTGGGGCATATTATGACAAGAATATGTTTTTGACCCTTAAGTAATTTGATGACCAATAAATAGCTCATGCTAAAAGCTATGTGTGAAAAGAGGTGCTTTCACAACTGTGCTTTTAAATTGTATGCTGTTTGAGAGTTGAACTGTTTTGAGGACAGGTGAAGGAAAATGTTCCTTATGCTTCTTCATGTACTTCACAATGAAAAGGAAATTTAGTCGTGCAGCGTGGACTGATTAAGTCAGACCTCGGTTTCAATATTCCAAATTATTGCACAAGGCAGATGAATCTCCTAAGAAGTCCCCTCCTGTCTCTTCTAAAAACAAATTAGCATAAATCCACACAAAGACAGGTCACAATTCCTATAGTGTCAAAGCATCTCAACCCAGGAGTACAGACGCAATAAAAATTATCCAAGCATTCAACAGTTTTACACTTTGCCACACTTATCCCCATCAAAGAAACGATGCAAACAATATAAATGACAGTCAAGACCCTGGCCTCCAAGGGTGATTTAAGTACAGCCTTGCGGCTGCAGGTCCAGTCACTAGCATGCTTTGCGAGGCCATCCCTTCTGTGACAAGCAAAAGCCTAAGGGTTTTTCCCATCTTTGGGTCTCGGGAGGTTCTCCTGCATTGTACCTTAGTCCAGCACTAGAAGCTTCTCTGAAAATGTGATCCTTCACAGGAATGCAATGCCAAATTAACATCCCTGGCACCACCACCCCCGCCCCAGCTGTTGCAATCGTATTGATCTTGCTCATCGCCCTTGCTGACAGTGTGGCATTTTCATTTCACCGGCTCCTGACTCAGGAAAATACGCTGAAGAGCTTTGAATTATTGGGTGCAACGGAAGACAAATGGAACTCTAAAAACAAAATCTCCACGTGTCAGTCTCCGGGGCAGAAGTCTATATATCCACAGGTGGACAGATCATTATTTTCCACGAGGACAAATCTTATTTTTAAATTTAGGTTTTGGATACAGCTTTCAAACAAATAATTATTGCTTCTCCATCCATTTTCGGAAAACGGACCACCCTCAGATAAAGGGACAGAGGAGAGGCCATAATGAGGCTGCTGTTCTCCCTCTCCACTTCCAATTCTGTGACTTAATAGGAATCTCTGAAAATGATTCCGAAATGTCAAAGATGAATCATGAGGTCATTTCTGAGCATGAGATGAGCTCTCTATTCTCAGCAAAGTGGGTGTTTGGCAAATTTTAATTCTGATGTTGGAGACTGTCATTATGATTGGGTGACGGAAGCCAGAGTCATGGATTTGGATTCCCAAAAGAGCAGCAGCGAGCCTGGACAGATTTTCTTCCCCAAACTGCCTGTGAGCTGAGAAGTCCACTCACACCAGGCCTTGTATTTTAGCCCGCAGCGAAGCAACAGTGGCTCCAGCTAAGACTCCTGGATCTGTTCCCGCCCCCCCCCCCCCCCCGCCCCCCCCATGGAACTCCTTGCTTGCCCCAGGCAGTGGGGGCTTGGGAGGATATGGTGAAGGACTCTCTGTTGGGTGGCTGTTCTGCCTGTTCATCCACCCATTCACTACGCTTCCATTCTTTAGTAGCACTGAAGAGCTGAGATGAAGTTTGGCCAGTTAACCTGTCAAGCAGGACTGTGCCCCTGGTGCCGAGTCCATCCTTCTCTGGTTCCTGGCCTCATCACCTTTACTGCCAGGGCATCGTTCTTGAGAGTTTAGAAACTGGCCCCTAGTTTTTTACTGATTGGAAATAGAAGGTACAATACCAAAGGCCTGCGGTGCTCATGGGTGGGTGTGCCGACAGGCCTTTGCCTCTTGCCTCATCGAGCAATCTCAAACTTGTCACTTCAGCATTGGAATTTATTTTATGTTTTGATTTTTTGGTCTTTGCTAATGGCCCTTCAGACCCTTAGCCCTTCTCACCTGGCTCCTCTCATGAAACCCGCTGGCCGTCATGTGGGCGAGAGGGTTCGAGAGGCTGTGGGGACTCGTTCTGGCACTTAAGGTGTGGCATTTAGAACTCTCGGGCTTCTGGGCAGTGGATCTGGGTCTTATGGCTGGTAGCCATGTGGCGCTGGGTAAGCTTATCATTCGCTGGTTATTATTATTTTCCCGTCCCTTGGGTTTCCTCCTCTGTGAACAACAGTACCTACATTTGGTGTTTCCTGATGATCAAGAGAGTTAAGACATGCATACACAACATAGGATGACGCTGCCTTCACATATCACAGTGTCCTGTTCAGCTTTCATGCTTTGTCACTCACTCTCTGCCACTTTCAAGATTAGCAGCTAACTACTGGACATTTGCTACCACGGCGAGACCAAAGCTGAAAGTCCCGATGATTGGACGAATACACAATCCAGGACGTGTGGACAGAGAGGGCAGTCAGTCCCTATGCACACTTTGGTGTCTTCCACAGACCACAGAATGTATTATAGTCATGCTAGCCACCTGAGACTCACGCAGTCTCTTTTTTTTTTTTTTATAATTAATCAATTTATTTATTATGTATAGTATTCTATCTACATGTATGCCTGCATGCCAGAAGAGGCACCAGATCTCATTATAGATGGTTGTGAGCCACCATGTGGGTGCTGAGAATTGAACTCAGGACCTCTGGAAAAGCAGCCAGAGTTCTTAACCTCTCAGCCACCTATCCAGCCCCAACTCAGGAAATCCTAAGAAAATACGGTCTAATTTTTTTTCCAGCTAGCAAAGTTCTAACGGTAAATACTTAGCAATAGCTGGAGATTATCGAATTAACACTAATGATTTTTTTAATGTCAAGTGGAGTTCAGAACTGTCTTTTCCTGTTATAATTTTGAAATTTACAGTTTCCATTCCTTCTCCATATGTTCCTAAGTTGAAATGTCACATGATGGTGGAGGCAACAGCTCACTGCTGTACTCCTCTGGAAGTAGAAAAACAGCTCCGTCTTTCAAAGTCAAAGCCCAAACACTGAAAAGGCTAAACAACAAACAAACAAAAAACCCAGCCTATGTGAGTGAACTTTAATGTAGGGAACTTGATAGGTGTCCTAATAAAGCTGTGCTAACTCGAATTTATTGACAAGATTTCCTTTTTTCGGAAGTATTGTTGATTGTGGATTTAAGGTTTTCCAAGGACTCCGCAGTTGGCTCTTCTGGCATCAAACGTAATAAAGCAGATTGTAGAAGACTGCACCAGCACTCTCTAAACTCCAGAGCAGAGGTTCTAACCCTGTGGGTCGCCACCCCCTGGGGTCACACATTAGATATTCTGCACATCAGATATTTTTAACATGATTCATAGCAACAGCAAAATTACAGCTATGAAGTAGCAATGAAAACAATGTTATGGTTGGGGGTCACCATGACATGAGGAACTGTATTAAGGGGTCTCAGCGTCAGGAAGGTTGAGAACCACTGGTCCAGAGAAAGGCTCTCAGCGGGACTTGGTTAGTTAGGGAAGGTTAGTGCCAGGCAATGGGCAGCAACCTAGTAACGTAACAGTTTGTTTTTAAATCTTTCCCTCCTTCCTCCCTTTTCTCTCTCCCTTTCCTCTCTCCCTCCCTCCCTTCCTCATGCTGGGAATTGAACCCAGAGCCTCTCTCTGTGTCTGTCCAGGAAGCTCTACCACTGAGCTACACCACTAGTCCAAACTTGGCAATATTTTGAAGGCTACGAGTCAGAGCTTCTGGAAGGTGGAGACACCAGGATGGGAGAAGAATTGGAAGGCATTTCCCCCAGAACGTAAGAGGGACTGAAAACCCAGAGCGAGCATTATTGGATAAGAAATAATGTTACAACAAGAGAGGTGACCAGAAGACACATAGACTCAAATAGCCAGGGACAGAAAAGCCTTGACGTTATTTCCAACTCTTGACTGATGGTTCTTTTCCAAGACCCAGGAAACTGGTTTCCACTTGTCCACCCCTCATCCCTCCCTGGAGTGCAGGGCTGAGGGCTGATGGATGCACACCAAGGCAGATTTTGCCATGTGCTGAGCTAAGTGGATCTTCTGACACAGTAGAGACGGGGCAGGACTTTCTGTGGGGAGGAGGGAAGAGGCAAGGAGGGCTGACAGGCTGGTGCCAGAGAGAGAGAGAGACTGTGTGTCCATTATGTTGGGAATAAATTTAGTCTCAGAAGATTAAGAGAAGCTGCGGTCAAGGCAACGAACCTTGACAGTCAACAGGGACAACACAGGAAGGTTGGCCAGGAGACTGTGCGCACAGATGAGTGTCTTCAGAGTGCTTGTCCCCAGGTCTACATCAAATTGTGCCTCATGCATAAAAGCCATGTCTGGGAATTTAAGGGTTGCTTTGTATAAGCAGATTTATGGATGGGATGTAAACAGCTGCGTACAAGGAAATATAAAGTGTGTTCTATGCTGGATGCTGTTACCATATAAGGCAGGCTAAACTTTATCTTGTGCAGAAAAAAAGCTTAAGACCAGTAAGTCTTTTCTGTGCATTCAGGACATTTTGAGGTCATTACTTGAAATTTTTAAAAATGGAACAATAATAAGGAATGTGGTGGACTGATGGTCTTCTGAAGATTTCTTTGGGTTTGGGTATCACGTACTCAAATCAAACTGTTCCTTCAATTCATTTGTCCCTCACTTAAAAAGATGGCTGCCAGTGGTGCTGGGTAAGGTGAGGATCAGTATGAGGAGACATCGATCTCTGGGTCCGCCCCAAGGTGCTTTGAGGAGTCAGCCGGGCTGTCGCATGCATGGCCATCACAGCCTCATCCCTACCCCTGGGATCTGAGGACAGTGCTTTGCTGCCTGTGGCCTGCTTTCTGATGCTCATGC